TATGTTTTACACCCTAGATATGTATAAATATTATGTATTATACTTTGTACAGAGTGATTCTTTTTTAAATGTTCATGTTACAGTATGAACTACATGCTATCTTGAAATAAATAAATGTATGTATATTTTTAATATAAATTTTTTGTTTGATAAAATCAATACATTCATTGCTGTTTAGAATCTAAAACATATTTATTACTATATGAATAATAAATAATAACATAATGTATAATCTGTGTAAAATTTTTTTAAATAGTACCTAATTTAATACTTATATTTTATTTGTTATATATTTAATTATTGTGATTTGACATTTTTTTCCGTGTCTTATTTTTCTCATGGCTTTTTTTTCTGTGGATTATTTTTCCCGTGGCTTTTTTTTCGCTGGATTTTTTTCCGTAGCATTTTTTCCTACATTCGATAATATGGTTGATAAAACTTAGCTTAAAAATGTAAAGCATAGTATTTTAWTTTTAATATAATAAACGGTAAATCTAATTTGGTAATTGATTTAAAATAAGTTGTAAAAATCCTTGGACATAGTTTTAAATTTAGTATATTTAATATTTAAACCTGATAAATGTATAATGTAAAAAAAAAAATACAGTTGTAATCTAAATACTGTGATTAAAGAAATTGGTATTTAAAATTTGCACTGCCTTCTTTTTTAATAGTACAATTTTGAATAATTCTATTTATTTTGTATTTAATTGTACCTACTAAAGTAGCTAGTAGATACATAATAAAAAAAGTATTTGTCTATAACATTGCGGTGTACCCATTAACAGCAGTTTTGAGCCCAGATGTTCATTTAAAATTGAGTACCGGCTTAAATCCTTAAATAATGTATTGTTTTAATTATTTTTCAAAATAATTATGTTAAACATGATCAACATTAGGTTAATTGGTAAAGTTAGGTTCGTAAAAATATCAGTGGTAAAAACGTCGTTGACACTGAGCCTCACCAGAAACCTAAAACCGTCATTTTCGAAAGGCCATCATTCATCGGAAATTTGGCCTATTGACAATSTGTAAATTTTATTGTGTTGGGGAACTCGTGAAGAATGCGTGAAAAACTATTTTGTCAATTTTTAACTGGTTTTAGTCATACGAGCAYCCTTTGAACACGGTCTACAAAAATGTGATGAAAAGTACGGGAATAACGACYCGTGGTTGATTAATAATACCGATARGCACCATATTAATCATTGATAATTGTTCAAAATTTAGTTGGCTTTCCAAAAAGTCCAAAACAAGATTCGTACTACCACTTAACGCTAATAAATCGTAAAAAGAGTTTATACAACCATGACTCGGATGACGACGCGAATTACTATAGTTTACTAGTCGGTACGGTGCATTGTATATAGTTGGACATTTTCCGTTTGCCCAACATCGTCACAGAAAATATTTGTTATATCTACCGTTTCAAGTTATATCAAAATTCAACATGACAGACACAGTTGTTGCTACTCCGGCTACAGTCACCGCTTCACCGGTTTCGAAGAAGTCACCTATCAAGAAGAAGTTAGCTGCTTCAAAAGCCGCGAAGTCTACCGCACTGCACCCGAGTACGTCCGTGATGGTTACCAAGGCCATCAAAGAGCTTAAGGAGAAGAAAGGTTCGTCGTTGCCTGCCATCAAAAAGTACTTAGCAGCCAACTACAAAGTCGACCCCGCCAAGTTGGCTCCTTTTATCAGGAAATTTTTGAAAGCCGCGGTCGCCAACGGTACTGTCCTTCAGACCAAAGGCACTGGTGCTTCCGGACATTTCAAGTTACCCGTCGCAGAGGCCAAACCGAAGAAGAAGAAGGTCGTAGCGAAAAAGAAGAAATCGATTGTCAAGAAGGTCAAAGCCGCGGGAACACCGAAGAAGAAGAAGCTAGCGACCGCCAAGAAACCCGCAACCGGCGAACCAGCAGCCAAGAAGGCTAAGAAAGCTGTTGCTGCCAAAAAACCAAAGACAGCGGTGAAACCTAAGAAGTCTCCGGCTAAAGTGAAAAAGCCAGTTGCTGTTAAACCAAAGTCGAAAAAAACACCAACTAAGACTAAGAAAACTGCTACTCCTAAAAAGAAGTAAATCACCATTTATTTCCTTTCAATCTTTAAAACGGTCCTTTTCAGGACCACCAATTAAATAATATTACCGCCTCTCTAACACAAAGCGTTTACATACTCGACGATGAGTTCAAATTGTTGTTCAAAACTGAGAATAGGTATTTTATGGAKTTAAAACAATCTGGATAATTTGTTTTTTTTGTTATTTTATCAACGAGTATGTCTTAAACAGTTACGAAAATTTTTTTTTCTAWGTTTTAGACGAGCCTCACGRCTCACACCCGAGAATGGCTTCTTACATGCAACTTTTTATACGTAATATGTTTCAGAAATGATTTCCACATTTATTTATCTATCTATATAATATATTTAAAAAAAAGTAAATTTATATAATAATGAAATATGATCAGTTTTCAAAATGTCCAAAGTGGACATGATATTGCTTTGGTATGGTGGACATGTCAATTTTTTTCAAAAATGTCATTTTGGCACATCCGCTAAATGTATATAATTAATATAT